AACCTCTCTTATTGCACTTATTGCTAGAAGTATTTACTATTAGTCAGGAACCAATGAAGCAAATCAGAACAAAAACCTCTGGCCACTGCCTGTGACCACACGGCCCCTGCTGTCCAAGCTCACAGCACGCACCTTCGGCTTATGTTACAGGTTCATGATCACCCGGCCACCCAATGGGTTCAAGTTGCTACCCTCGGACCGCGTGTTTTGCACCATTCCTTTCGGCACTGCTTGTTCTAAAAGGGATGGTGGGCCTTCGTCTGAAGAGCTATATGAAATGTTAAAGATAGTGCTGCTGACGCCAGAGATGCGTGCAGATGCAAACTGTCCTTCCACAAGTGTCTCAGTTAATGAGACTACCCCACAACTGTTGCATGTGCCAGTCCATTGTTTGAAGCCAACAACTAGCTGTCTTTCTGTATCTAAGCAAAAAACATTGAACCAGGGTAGTATAAGCGACATTGAATCATCCCACATACTTGGAGGTGACAAATGCGAAAGAAAACGGAAAGGATAACAGAAAAGAAAACAGCAAGGAAAGCATAAAAGAATGTAAAAAAAGGATCCTCAGAAGAGGAGGAGGATACTTCTGTCTACTCAAAGCCAAAGTAGGCCTGCCTGTGTTCTCTGTTTCTAACTGGCTGCTTACGAAGTATCTCCAGAAATGGTAACTTTGAACAAGGAAAATAAAAATGGAAGCATGGCATTTTTGTGCCCATTGCTTAGGGTTCAGCAGGCCCACACGGTTTTGGAAGAGACAAAGTCTAATCGAGTCCCACTGGATCTGGTATGGTGATAAAGAAATATACAATAAATGCCTCTGTAAGGAAAGTTCATTGCCCTGATTCCTTTGGTCAGAAAACGTATTCGTCTGAGATGTGTTAATGAACTCCTCCAGTACTTGCTGGATCCCCCAGCTCAGGAAATACAAGTAATCAAGATAAAATGAGAGTGACTTAGACACAGGAGATAAGAAGTAAAGAGCTCCCACAAATCAGGAATCTTTTTTTTTTTTTGAGTTGGAGTCTCACTCTGTCGCCCAGACTGGAGTGCAGTGGCCACTCCCGACCACCGCAGCCTCGACCTGCTGGGCTCCGGCGATCCTTCCGCCTCAGCCTTCTGAGTAGTCGGAATTACAGGCGCGGCTACCACGCCCGGCTGATTTTTTGATTTATTGTAGAGACGAGGTCTCGTCAAGTTGCCCAGGCAGGTCTTGAACCCGCAGACTCAGGCAATCCACTTGCCTTGGCCTCCTAAAGTGCTGGGATTACAGGCTGAGCCACCAGACCCAGCCTCAGGAATCTTATATATTTTCTAAATCCCAGAATAAGCAAATAGTAGATTAGTATATATTTCTTTCTTTTTTTGCCCTCATGCTTTTTGAAATCTCATTTTATTTCTTTCTGTAGGAGGTGGGAAAGACCAGATGGGGAGATGCTGGTTGCAATTGGAAACCAATCTCTCTATAGCTGAGACCTCTGTTTATGCCTGGCACATAGTAGGCATTTAATTAAAATAAATATTAGAGTGTCCTGAGACAAGGTTCCTGGATGAAATCAGGTAGATTAAAACATGTCACCTTCTAATTCAAGAATAGAGACATCAATGCATAAAAGCTATACAACATTTCCCTATGACATGTTTCAAAATAAACCAATCCACTGCCCTATAAACCTTATTTTCTTTTTTTTTTTTTTTTTTTGAGTTGGAGTCTCACTCTGTCGCCCAGACTGGAGTGCAGTGGCCGCTCCCGGCCACCGCAGCCTCGACTGCTGGGCTCCGGTGATCCTTCCGCCTCAGCCTGAGCCTGTATTAAAGCCTTCCGTCTGTAGCTGAAATTACAGGCACACGCTACCATGCACGGCTGATTTTTTTATTTATTGTAGAGATGAGGTCTTGCTGCCCAGGCGGGTCTCGAACCCGCGGGCTCAGGCAATCCACTCACCTCAGCCTCCCAAAGGTGTGGGATTATAGGCTGAGCCACCGAGCCCAGCTAAAAACCTTATTTTCAATGAAATCATTTCACCTAGGTATTACTTTGTTAAAATGGTAAACAAAAGTTTAGCACATTTAGAAAGTTTTCACTCCCAACTGGTGGTCTTATAATGATGAACTTGTAAGCAGAGTTCTCTTGCATTAAATATACAACATAAATAGAAGGAGGGAGGGAAACCATGTTTCTCATAAATTGTTTTATATAATGTTTATAATATACTTGACATAATGCCTACAAGTGCCAGAGTCAAAAAGCAGAAATATCATTTTCCCACCTGAGAGCCTCTCAAGCATAAGCTGCCACTGCCCTCTAGCCTGGGTGACAGAATGAGACGCCAACTCAAAAAAAAAAAAAAGATGCTTCTTCCACTGCTGAAAGCAATTTTTAATATCTTTGCTGATTTAGTATTATCACCTCTGTTTTACAAATAAAAAACTATGTCAAAAGTAGTGTTACCAGGTAAAGTAAAACAAACTCAGTTAAATTTGAAGTTCAAATAAACAACAAATAATAAATAACAAATTTCAGACAAACAACATACTTTCAGCATAAGTATGTCCAAATTATTGCATTTAGCTAGTAAGTGACTGAATCAACATTCAAACATGGTTTATTTGACTTTGGGACTTGTAGGCATTATACCTCTAAATCTACAGATAAAATAAATAAAACTAAGAGAAAAACAAAAACATACATCCACCGGAAATAAAATTTTGCATTAGTTAAGTGTTGGTTGTAAGGAAATCAACTCAACAAATGTATTTAAAAAATAGAGTAATTGTAAGGAAAGTTGCTGACAGGGGTCAAGGTAATCTTTTTAAACATTTTTTGGAAGCTTACCGAAGTCTTCTTCACCTTTCCCCCTTTTGTAGAATTATTTTCTTTATTTATCCACATGAAAGAGGACCCAAAAATTCCAGAATTTTAAAAACTGTGTATCTGCCCTTACATGTTTAAACTTTGGCCACCTTCAAAGTACTCTTGTTTGATGCAATACATCTATTAAGATGCTTTTTCTGCCTGAGCGTGGTGGCTCACACCTATAGTCTCAGCACTTTGGGAGGCCGAGGTGAGAGGATTGCCTGAGCCCAGTTCAAGACCAGCCTTAAGCAACTTGGCGAGACCTCATCTCTACAATAAATCAAAAAGTTAGCTGGGCATGGTGGTGTGTGCCTGTAGTTCCAGCTTCTTGGAAGGCTGAGGCGGAAGGATCGCCTGAGCCCAGCAGGTTAAGACTGCAGTGGCCAGGAGCATGCCACTACCCTCCAGCCTGGGTGACAGAATGAGACTCCAACTCAAAAAAAAAAAAGATGCTTTTTCCACTGCTCAGAACAGTTTTTGAACTCATCACTTTTGATGTCTTGTGGTGCTTCTGCCATTTTTTTGTTTCACCTCTTCCACATTGGAAAAAATTTCCCTTTGAGGGCTTTGTTCAAACAAGGAAACAAAAAAGAAGTCGCTCAGGGTGAGACTGGGTGAATGGGGAGGTTGGGGCATGGGGATCATGCTGTTTTGGGTCAAAAACTGCTGAACAGCCGGGCTCGGTGGCTCAGCCTGGAATCCCACGCCTTTGGGAGGCTGAGGTGAGTGGATTGCCTGAGCCCACAGGTTCGAGACCCGCCTGGGCAGCGAGACCTCATCTCTACAATAAATCAAAAAATCAGCCGGGCGTGGTAGCACATGCCTGTA